AACTAATATTAAATTCTAAATATTATCTTCAAGGTTATTATAAATTATTGCAGGTGTTTTTAATATTATTTTATCATTATATTTTCATTCTGTAACAATGCCAAAATCTCAAATTACTAGTATTTGGAATTTGGGATTTGGGATTTCAGCAAAAAATACTAATCATAATTTGGGATTTGAGATTTGGGATTTTAGCATTTGGAATTTCAGCATTTGGATTTTGAATTTGGGTGGCAGGTATAATTCTAATGAGAAAGAAGATGAAAAGGAAGTTACTCTTGGCTTAGTAGTAACTGAAGAAGAAAGTTCAGATCAACATGCCTATGAATTTGATACCTGGAGAATAAAAATTGATCAAGAAAATTTTACCTAGCAAGAATACGATTATTTTGAATGGCAATTTAATTTATGAATAGTCAACCAAAAATAGGCATACCAAACTAAACATTGATACCAAGGTCCTGATAAATAATATTGGTATCTTAAATAGCTAGAGGAAATTAATGAAAAATGCAATACATATGAGGATGATTATTTCTGATGGAAAATCATTAAAGTTTTACCAACACAAGAAACTCACTATTCCCAATCATTATTAGTAATGGAAAGAACAGATGAATTGAAAAATAATGAATATAAAGAACTTATCCAGATCCTAATTCATAAATATTCACAAGCTATAGCTCATGACATGACGCAATTGGGACGAGCTAATATGGTTACACATTATATTGACACAAAGAATGTTCTTCCAATTCAACAACACTATTACCAAATATCACTCTGACATGAAGCTTTTATTAAAGAGAAAATTAAATGGTTAAAACAACAAAAATTAATTGTTTCATCGCATAACTCTTGGATCTCGTCTGCTTTGGTAGTTGAAAAAGCCAATAGAAAATTCTGTCTCGTCATAGATTATCGCCAATCGAATAAAGTTATTAAACCTGACACTAACCCTTTACCAAAAATATCTGACATGTTGGATGCTCTGACTCATAGTCAATACTATTTTATCCTTGATTTAACTTCTGAATTCTGACAAGTAAAGATGAATACGTAGGACTATACCTGCCACCCAAATTTAAAATCCAAATGCCGAAATCCCAAATGCCGAAATCCCAAATCCCAAATCCCAAATTATGATTAGTATTTTTTGCCGAAATCCCAAATCCCAAATCCCAAATACTAGTAATTTGGGATTTGGGCAACACGTATAGTATGGGCAAGTTCAAGACCGGTTAGATGAATGTCAGGAGGAATGTTACCAAATAAGAGAATCTTTAGAAGGAGCTCATGAAAATATTACAGAAGGTGAGTTTACATATGACGAGTTAAAGCAGAAATTGCACATCTTAGGATTAACCTATATCGCATGGCGAGCTCGCAATCTAAGGCAGGCTCAAATTTTAAATGTGGAATTTAATACAGCAAGAATCGCTTGGAGAAATCAAAGAGATAGAAATCGGCATATTGCTCAAAAATTACAAAATTGTCAGGAGTATGGCAGGAATTTATAAAATGATAAGGTTTTTATTGAGTTTTGGTATGAGCGAATTATCCCCAGGTATGAGAAGTAGAAAAATAAGACCAAAAATGAACGCCAAATAATTAATAATTTAAATCAGCAAATTTTAGCGCTTCAGAATAATTTAACTATAAATAATTAAGTGAATATGGCATTACAACCATTACCATTGCCAAATTTTTCAGGTGACCATGATAAGGACATTGATATTTTCTGTAGTTGACTATCATCATATTTTGCAGGTGTTGCTATAGATCCACTTGCTAATCGGGATCAAGTATTTGGCATTTTTAGAGGATGTTTATATGGACGGGTATTAGATTGGTTTGATCGAAAAATTCTCGGTAAACATTGGGAAGTTCATAATATTCTTGCAAATCATGGACAAGCCAGTATGGCTGCTCTTCGAGATCGAACTATGGCACAAATAGTTACTAGTAACAGTTTTAGAAATCCCTCAATAGCTCATGACTACGCAAATGTTGGTAGAAATAATGCAGTAACAGTAGGGAATTCAATGATTCCAGCAAAAGCTTTTACTGAAGATTAGCGACTAGCTGGAGGTCGGCCATCGGATAGACTTGTTAATGGTATTAATGCGGGTAATAATAACCCTATAGTATTTGCTGATATCTGAATCGCTCAAGCATTATATTGGTTTAAAAATGAGTATCCTACTGTGTTTGGGTCACTAGCTCAAGGGGGCGAACCTATAGGTGATTTTTATAGAAAGCTTATCAAATACGGAAAAATGCTTCACCTTGATGACGAATTAATCAAAGACCAATTTCTACGAGGGTTGTCTCCAGATTTGAAAGAAGACGTGTAACGTATTGGTACTGAACAGCTATTATCTGATCTTTTTGAAACCCTAGAGAGAATTGAAATGCGAAGAGCAAAGAAAAAATTAGGATTGGTTATCAAGATACCCCAATCTAGTTATAAATCGCCATCTAAATCTCACGAAAAAGATAATTACTCAAGCAATAGGGGTTTAACTGAAGCCGAAACTAGAAATTTAATAAAATCTATGATGTCATCTCCACAATCCCAGCAAATACAGGTTCAACATCCCCAGCAAAGACAACTCAATTCTGATGATTATCCTAGAGTACTAGACAAATATATACCAGAAGACCTCCAGATGGCTATGGGGTAAATTTTGAAAGGTATATTCATGCTGATATCATAAATCCAACTCCTTCAACTAGTCAAATTATGGAATCTCTAGCCAACGATCTTTATAAAAAATTATCAGATAGGTTTTCAAAAAAAAATGGGGGGAGTGCTTTAAAAAATGTCGAAGTCGATTCAGACGAAGAGCTGGCCAATCTTACAAAACGACAATTAAAATTACATATAGCTAAAGCTGTTAGAAAAGCTAAGAAAAAAACATCCCAGCATAGGTGCTCAAAGTGTAGTAGAACAGGCTATAATTCTTGCAATTGCAAAAATAAAAAGAAGAGCAAATCCAAGAAAAAAGGTACAGTCAATATCGCTACTGTAAATTCAAGTTCTAATTTAGATACAAACTCTTCTAGTAGTGATTCTGGATCTAATTCTGAGACAGGGTCTGATGTCAAGAATACCTCCTCTGATTCTGATTCTGAAAATAACTTTACCGAGGATGACGTCATGAAAATTATTAATGCTGTCAACGCTGTCACCGGTGGTCCTTGGTTTTCTCAAGAACTACCTGAGTAGAGTGACTTAACGGTTCTTTTAAGGAGGTTATAGTCCTTTTCCAAAGGTAAGACTATTGCTTTATCATTTTAGAAGGCATTACTGATTCAGTTATTTTAGAAAGGGAATCAGACCTTTCATTTAATTTATTCCAATATCTTTTAAGTTCATCATTATCCTTAGTATCAATATTCATCCATTTATCATCTTTTGAATTCTTTAACTTTAAATATTATTTTCAATTATCCAGGTTAATTATTATTTCAAGTCCAGGGTTTATAATTATGGGTTATAATTAATTTCATTGACTCAGGAATAATAACATTATACAATTATACAATCAAGTATTTAATCCCATAACATCCATTATTCCTTTATTAACTA